AAGAAATTCTTATATTTCAAATATGTTATATATCTATACAAATTTATAGAATTTCTAAAACTTATAAAATGTTGGTTAATCATATTATTGAAATATAAATTACTATTTGTAAATTGATAGAAAAAATGATTTAGTGTATTAGTCACTTGATATAGATAATACATATAATGTCTGCAATGCAGTTGGAATTAATAGTTTTAAGAGAATTATAATATTTCTTATATAATTTCATACTAATTTGCATTTAAAAAATATATTTAATAATTGACATTATTTGAAGTTAATAAATTATTTGTATAATTAAATTATATTTTTCTTATCTCTTATCTATAAATATAAACAACTAGTATTATATAAATATAATCATATATTTAATAAATCATCATATCATCTATAACAAATGTTTTTTACTATACATATTAAATATATTCAATAAAATATTAAACTAATGTTAAACTGTACTATGATAAGATTCTTCAATGATTATTCTTATATACTTATTAATTAATTAATCAAATTATTGTTAAATCAATATTTATTGATTTATTACAAAAACTTATTTTAATTATTACTTAATATTTATGAAACGAAAATAGTTTTAAAAAATATTTTTATAAGAAATTTTTATTTGAACGAATTAACAAAATTACAATAAAATATATTCATCTAAATTCTTTTATTTTTTAGAAAATATTATAATAATAATCATATTATTTAATAATGAATATTAATTAAAATATTTAAAATATTTTTATGCATATTAAAATGTGCATAAAATATTGTTTATTTCAAGCACATTTTCAGAGATTAATATAGATATAAATAATTATTAATAGAATTAAGTTTTTAAAATTTTATATATATAATATATATATAATATATATATATATATATATTTATTTATTTATTTATTTATTTCATTAGTGCTCATTATAAACTTTGGAATGCTTGTAGATTTTTAAAAAAAAAAAATTATTCACTATAATATAAAACAATTTATTTTGTAAGTCTTTATTAAAGTGGATAATATAAATTTAATATTAATTTTAAAATATTCTATACGATTAAAAATATTAATAAGCAAATAATTTATAAACAAGTCGTGAGAACAATCATCTCTTTACTAGTCTCTCTACTTTACTATCAGTTTTGAAACATAATTTTTAAATATTTTATTAATATTTATATAACATTTGTATAACATTTATCACAAAATCTTGTTTTTTATATATCTAATTATATTCTAATCTTATTTTTAAATCAAATAATGCATTTCAATTATATACTGTTGTTATAGATTTGTTTTTTACTTTTAATTTTATAAAATTTATAATAATCAAATAAAAATAAAAAAAGATTGAATATTAATAATATTTTCCAACATTGAATTATTGACGGTAACTATAAAAATAATAAATGATTATAAAATTTTTTTAAAATTAAGTTTTGTAAGTTTCTTTTAATAATAAAAAGAGTCAATTGTTGTCTCATATATTTATAATAAAAGCATTAAAAACTGAAATTCAATAAAAAAAATATAATAAATTAGATTACATAAAAAATTTTATTAAAAATATATTATTCTTTTAAAATAGAATTGTATAGTGTCTAAAGCATTTATAGGGTTATATTTATATGTATTATAAAATAGCAAAATGTAACTTACCAGAGTATTATCAATCATAGAAAGTTTTTAAAATTAGATAGATCACAACACTTTCTTTATACGCTTTCAAAAACACATTTCGTTGTGAGCACAATACTATTTATTGAAAATACATCCCCATTGCTAGGCACGGAGTTTTTTAAAGCTAAACTGTTTTGCGAGCCACGTCATACAAAACAGATTGAAACTTCTATTCTCTATATTATAACCGGATATTCTCTTTCAGATAAGAACGACATCTTGTACAGAAAAAGTAAAAATTATATATATGGCGGATAACTTAAATAAAATTATTATTATGAATATAATATTGCATAATATATGATATATTTTTAATAAATTTTACTTCATAAAAATTGAATTTGAATATTAAAAAATAATAATATAAATCAAATTATTTTATTCTTAGAATATAATTTAAATTGTTTTATTATTCTTAGAATATCAAAATCGAAAAAAAATTATTTTATTGAATTAAATAATTATATAAATTTTTATTATATTTAAATAATAATTATTCTTATTTGAAATATTAATTATTGATGAAATAATTATTTATTTTATTTAATATTTAAATAAATGTTTCAAATAATTTTATAAATAATTTCTGTTCTAATTATTGTCTATAATAAATTCAGATTATTATTACATGTTATTTAAGGACAATATAAATGTAAATACTTACGTTAAACATTATTTAATTTTTTAACTATCATCAATACAATATCAATCCTTGTGCTACATTGTGTGTTAATTAAACATTAATTATTTTATGTCGATTACTATTAAACCATTACATATAGGAATGATATATATTATACAACTATGTAATAATAAGTCAAATTTCAATTTATAAAATTTTATAGAATTGTTTTTATTTAATTTTTACTTTCAAAAATTTAATTTTTTGATTTATTTTACTTTAAGAGAAAATATATTAAAATATATAAAAATATATTAAATGATAGATAAAATTTTAAAATATATAAAGCATTAGAATAATTATTTGTATATATATCAAATTGATAATAATCAAAATTGTAATAATCAAATTGAAAACATATGTAAACACAAAATATATTTATTTTATATTTTTAGTTAAAAAAGTTATTTTATAATTTTTTAATAAAAATAATTAAATGAAGGTGAAATTAAATAAAGATATTTAATATGCATACATACACATCTATATGCGCGCGCGCGCGCATATATATATCCATTTTATATGCACCGTATAAGATGTATTAATAGTTGTTTAAAGAAAATTTGTCATGAAAATGAGGTCTTACTTGTTAAATATGAAAAATAGATATCACCCATCTTATGTATTTACTAACTATGCAATATCTAAAATGGCGAAGTACTGGGTGATTGTTTCTTTCGCTAAATAGGTTATACAATACAATTGCAATTGGCAGAAATAATAACAAAATAATTTGACTCGATAGAATTATAAAAGAGTATTATGATTACGTTGAAATAATTTGTATTTGTTCAACACCTTAATGTTCTAATAATAAAAAAAAAAACACGTGGATAATGGCTGAAAATGTCGTTCAATGCGATGATGAATTTGTACATTCCATCAAGACATTACTTTGGGGTAATAATATTAAAAAAGATGTTTTCAAACGGTGGGCTCAAGGTAAGTTTATATTTTTATATTTTTTTTATAATGAAATTTAAATTATTCATATTAAATTATTAAATATAATTAAATATAAGTTTAGTAAACGTTTTTGATTTTATTTGTTTATAAAGAATGAAATAATATTTAATAAATTTGATATTTTATAAAAAATATAAATAACCAATACTATAAGATTTATAATTTAATAATATTATAATTTATAATTTAATATTAATTTATAATATTAAACATTTATTACTATGTTTTTATATTTGATATATTTAATAATATATCAAATATAAATGTTCATTAATATTCCAAATTAATATTTATTTTTGTTATTCCAATAAATTTATTATTGTTATTCCAATAATTGATTGTTAATAATTATATTCCTGTCATAAAATATATAAAATTTTATCAAATATATGATTAATATATGTATATATTAATAATATACATTAATATATTATAATATATATAATAATAATGTTAATTCTTATGTTATTAGTTAAATATATATTTTAAGTTAAGTAATATTTTTTTTTTTGAAAGTTAATAAATAAATATTTTTGAAATATTAAAAATTATTGATTTTTTTTGTTTTTTTATAAATTATTTTTTATTTAATAAATATATTTTAAAATATAAGTTTTAATTTCAGGAAATCATTTTATCAAAAATTATAAGTATTTAAATATAATATAATAATGTAATTTTGATCTGAAATTAGTGATTTTTTTTGCACTCAAAAAATAAGATTTTCAATATTTTACTTGGAATACGCAGAAATATGTACTATTATTTATATTAATCTTATTATATAATTATCGATCACATAAATATATGTTTATATATAAATAAAATAAAACTAATTTAAAACCAATAAAACTAATTATATGTTAAAAATATTAAATTTTATATATTCATAATTTTTTAATTAATAAATATTTAAAATTAAGAATGATTTTTGGAATTTACTAATTTAATTTTTTTAGCCAATTCAATTTCAGAAATTTAACTATTTATTTATTTATTAACATTATTTAATTAATAATAATAATAATTACTATTAATTAAATAATATATTAATAAATAAAACATATTAATTATTTACTTTTTTTAACAATAGACAAATGATATAAAGATTTCATACATAATTATAATAATTAATATATTGAAATAAAAGTGATTTACTACTAACTTATCCATTATTATATTTTATGCAAATATAAATAAAAGATCAAAATTTTTTGAGTAAAATTACAAAATTTATAGATTTCATTTTATTAATATTATTGAATTGTCACAATATATTAATAATATATATAAAGCAATAATACATTCTCAATTTATATTATCATTTTGCTTTAATTTTTTTATATATTATGTTATATATAATGTACATGATATATGATATTTCTTATATATATATATATTATTATTATATTTTGTTTTAAATTTTTATTTATTATAAAACTCAATTGCCAATTATATAATAAATTTTAAATATTGCTAAATTTAATAAATAGATTGAAAAATTTAGATTTTTTTAAAAATAATTTTTAAATAAAAAATCTCTAAAACAATTTCAATAGTATATTTTAAATAATTCAGCAATTATTTAACTTTTTTATTTTATTATAAATATTTATATACAATATATTAAAACAATAACATTTATATTTATATTTTTCATTACAAAGATTTTATACAAAGAAACATAAATATAAATTATTTGGAAAAATAATTATAGAATTCCAAAGAATATATGTTTCATTTGATTTTGCAAAATAAAAAAATTTATAAAAACAATGTTTAAATTTTTTAATGAAAATTTATATTTTTTTTATCAAATTGCTAAAGCTGTTTTTTTCATAAAATGTTTTTAAAATATTAAATATATATATATATCTTATATAAATCAATTTCAAAATATGAATTTTTAAATTTGATGCAATATTGACATTAATCAATATTACTTGATGTATAATTTAAAATAATTACAATTTAATATAAAATAAATAGCATTTTAAAAATTTATTTCGATATTAAATAAGAATATGTAATAAAATATGTAATAAAAAACATTCACTGATATCTTATAATTTTAATTTGAATCATTTTTTTTATATTTTCCATATTTTTAATCAGAGATATTTAATCAATCTCACTTATAATATGTACATATGTATGCATTATATGAATAAAAATCATTCCTTAATCATAATATAAATCATAAATAATAACATTAATAAAAATTGACATAAATAATAATATTTTAATATTAATGGATTAATGGATTTATATTAATTAACAAATAATAATGATTAATAAATTTAAAATTATATTAAAAATTCAAATTTTTAAATAACTTAACTCATTGTTTTACTGTAAATTAATCCTAATACATTGTTTCCATTGTTTTAGGATTTTATTTTAGTCCTGATGAGCCAACAGCATTGATACAAACAGAAGGTGGTCCTTGTGCAGTAATAGCTCCGGTCCAAGCCTTTATTTTAAAGGAATTATTATCAGAGACTGATGTTTCAACTTGGAAAAATATAAATTTAGATACGTGTTACCAACTTCTTGTACGAGCTTCTATAGAAATTTTAAAACAAGCCGCTGGGGGAAAAAAGTTCCAAAATTTTGTATTGTCTTCATGGATTGTAAATTTTCAAATGAAGACAATGTAAGAAAGGCCAAATGGGTGGAGAAAATACCAGAAATTGAAAACCGTGAAACAGAAATAAATGTAACAAATAATGATAATCAAGAAACAAAAAAAAAATATTACTAATGGAAATGAATGAAGAATGTAGAAGTGTAGATTCTGATCTTTTTCATTCTCAATTGAGGTAACAAAAATTGTCAATTATTTATATTTTAATAATAATTTTGAATATAAATTGGAAAATACATTTTTATTTAATAAATTTTTTAATGATCTATCATATAATTGCAAAAATTAATTATATTAGTATCATTAGGAAAAAAACTAAATGTTTTTTATAGATGCACAAAATGAATCTGTTAAAAAAGGTCATAAAAAAAAATAAATATCTATAAATATCTGCTTTATTTATTTATTTTATAAAAAACTTTTTAGGACAATTTATCATTTCAAAAAGCATGTGTGAAAATAATTTTTTCTCAAGATCATAGTTTTTTTTTTCCTCTCTCCATAAAATGTCAAAATCATTGTTACTTTTTAAATGAAAATCTACATTTGTTTTTCAATGTAGATAACATAATACCAAAAAAAAATTTAATGATTTTAATCATCATATCTTTCTGATTATTTAATTTGAGATATTTAATTCTAAAGATATATATATTTTTTGGAATATCTAGGACGCACATAGAATTACAAATTTATTCACATATTGATATTTAAATAAAATTTATGTTTATGATCCATGTGATATTGAAAAACAAATACAAGATTCCATTTATAAAATAGCAATAGCTTTTACATTTCATGAAAAAATGATTTTGAAAAAAAAATTTTATTACATTGTATTTTTTGCAATATTATATTGTCTTTTGTAAATTTTTTTTATATAATATCAAATAAGCCTAATATTTGGATTTCATTTAATTAGTCCATTCTATATTTAATTTTCAAATTTTCAAAAAAAAAATTTCAAGTAAAATATAAAATCTGATATTTATTGTAATGATGAGTTCTCTTTTTTAGACTTTTTACAACTAATACCTCCGAACATGTAGAAGAATTTTTTTTAGAGAGGTTAGAGATGTTAAAAGATCGATATGGAATTTTATTGCTTCTTTATAGTATAATTGTTACAAAAGGTGTAACTGAAATTCGCTCTGAAATGTCTGATCCATTAGAATCAATGATTGATTCAACATATGGCTATGGAAATCAGAGTCTTATAAATTTAATGCTTACGGGAAGAGCAGTTAGTCATGTATGGGATCACGATCAAGATGTTGGAGGATTGAGTAAGATATTTTTATATTTTGTATTATATTACATATGGATTTGATTAGATAACACAAATTTTATTTAATAAAAAATTTAGTTGATATATTGAGATAGAATAAATAAATGTATATTCTCTTTTTTTATCTTTACATGTTTAGGTTTTCGTTCACACTTAAAAATTTATGACTATGAATTTATTAATACAATAATTTGAAAATGAGTAAAGATAAAAAAAATGTTGAATACATAATTTATTTAATTTTTTATGAAAAGGAATTTAATGTAAGTGTAATTTATGTATATGCATGTATATTATTGTCAATTTGCTTTGTTTGTTTAATAATGTTTAATACATAAATCAATTTTTCTTCAATTTTTTTAAATCATTTTATGTAGACAATATTATATATATTATATATTATTACATATTATAGAGTAATTGAATGGAATAGTTGAAAAATGATTAGTTTGTAAATATTTTAAATATTTATTAAGAAATATAATAATTACATATATAACCATATGTGATTATATGGTAAATTTTTTTTATTTATTAATTTATTTGTTTATTTGTTAAATATTTTTTTTTTAAATAATGAAATACGATTTATTTAAAAAAAAATTTATATGTTAAATTAAAGAAGAATGAAATTTACGCAAAATGATGAGGATTTGATTCATGAAAAAAAAATATATATATATATATTTATTTCTTGTTTGTAAAAAATTATATAATTAAAAATGCATAAATATATAATTATTGTAAAATGAATATGGTCTTGAAAAGATAAACTTAAAATTGAGTTTAAATTTTGCTATATAATAAATATAAATATAATAAAATAGATATGTTTTTTCAATATTTTTGAATACATTATTAAATTATATTTTACAATAAATTTTTCATATTATTAATATTGAAAAATATATGAATTTCAGAATTACGAGGAATAGATACACAAAATGCAATAGGATTTCTTGCACTTCTTGAACATTTGTGTTATTGTGAAGTAGGAACTTTCTTAAAATCTCCATCAAATCCTATTTGGGTATTGGGTTCAGAAACTCATTTGACTGTACTATTTTCTACTGAAAAAAAACTTGTGAGTCCTGAAACACCTGCAGATCAAGCAAAGAGAGTTTTTAGAAAATTTGATCCAGAGGGAAATGATTTTATTCCTGCTAATTTATTACAAGATGTTCTTGCTGAACTTGGATTGGTTACAGACTCAGATTAGTAAGTATTAATTACAAAATATATATTATTATAGATTATTATAATATTTATTATTTATTTTAAATTTATATCTATAATTAAACGGGAAAATATTTATCATTTTCAAAATACATATTTGAATTTATGCATTAATTTATACATATTATAGGATATAGAATCTATGATAATTTAAATAATTAATAAGATAAAGCTTTATATAATTATTTATGATTTGTTTCATTTCACTTTATATTCAAAGATATACTTTCATAATAATATGTTTTATAATATGTTTTCATATCTTTTTATTATATATCTTCTTTTCAAAATTTCAATCTTTATAGAAAATAATCCTATTTGTAAAATATATTTATATTGATAAACACTATATTTAACATATTATATAAATAAATAGTAAAATTATAGTTAATGAAATATTATATAGTTAATAAAATTTAAATATTGCTGGTTCATAAATATAAAATTCCTGTAATCATAAATATAATGAATGATTTTTATGTAATCTATATTAAACCATTTTTTTAAAAATTATAAGCGTTAAAAGTTAATGGAATTCATCAGAGTCCAAAATAAATAAAAATTCGTTATGTTTATAAAATTATAAATAGATATATTTTTTTAAATAGATAAATTTGAAAAGGAATTTTATTTTTAATAATATTTCTTATTGAATTGAATAATGATTCTTTTTAATAAGTAATATAATTTATGTATGTAATTATTTTTAATACACGCGTAAATATTGATTTTAATGATCAATATTTGCTATCCCATCAATTTTCATAACTTTATTTAATCAATGATTTCCATCTATTTCTTCTTTATTACTCATTCCATGTCATATTTCCTATATATCATATCCTATATATCAATTGTTTTGCTACTAATAATCCTGAAGAAAAAGATAATATAACTCATAATCATTTTTACGTTAGAGTATTTAAATTTAATGTTAAAGATCAAAATAAAGAATTTTATTTTAAGCTGTTCGACCATAATTAATTTCGATATGTTTCTGAATAATAAATTATATTATTATGTTAAATAAATTAAAATTAATAATTTAATATTATGATAGGGATATTTAATATTTTGATAAAAGTGTTATTTCGATTAATTATATATTATATATATTAATTGTAATCTATTATAATTTTAATTTACTGTACTATATTATTTTTTTTGTTATTTTATTTATTTAATTTTTTTTAATAAGAAAGATGGATAAATAAGGAATAATAATCTGCTCTTAAATAAATTTAAACTATATTACATTCTTATAAAACATATATTCTTACTAAATTTTTTATTATATTTTTAATTCTTTTAATTTCATGTCGATTTGACATTTCAAACATTTTTGTTTTGATTTAACATCAAGAAGTTCTCAAATAAGAATATCTTTTCAGCTTTAATAATGCATTAATAATCTTATATAATATATAATTCCTTTTTGCTATAATTCTCTCGTAAATTCTTTAATAAATATGACTATTAAATTATTTATCGATTTTATATGTTGTATTAACATATTACTCATTATTATTAAA